GGCACAGAGCACCCCCCCCCCCCCCGTGTCCCCCCCCCCGCCGCTATTTCCACACGGACCCCAATGGCCCGAGCGGTTCCAGCATCTCTTTCCAGGGAAAGTTTTTACAACTCGTGGTTAAAACGTACAGTTCATCCAGAGCACCTCTTCTCTCTCTCTCTCTCTCTCTCTCTTTCTCCTCCTCTCACACACATTTCAGATCACATTGGACTCTGCAAAAATCAAACTACCTAAATTGCCTCAAGGGTTTTACTCCGCGGCAGGATCCAGGCAAAAAATCTACGAGCTGTGCGTGTGTCCCAACGGGAGGTTATTCCTGTCTCAGGCCGGGGCCAGTTCCACCTGCCAGATAAATACAAGCGTCTGCCTTTGAGAGACAATGCGCGGTGGGCACTGCAGGCAGCGCATGGGCCTACGGCTGGTCTCAGAGATAGCAGCTGCCAACTATTTTTACTAGAACACAGAAAGCCTATCAAAGACTTTTTTTGTGTGTGCGTGCGCGTGTGTGAATATATATATATATATATATAAATATATATATAAAATTATATATATATATCCTCTGTGTAAAATGATGTTTCAGTACAAGGAATCCCAGGGTGACCCTGTGACATTTGTGTAGTGTCCCACTTTTCCCCCATACCCAAATTTATCAGTGCAGACCACTGGATTCGGTGCTCCCCAGACTTTTCCATATTAGTACACGTAGGGTGTGTCAACACGCACAAGTAATGCTATCTGGCTTTACCGTGCAGTCAGTTTACTACCTCCATATGCAGGTAGTAAATTTACTGTGCAGTAGACTAATTTACTGCGCAGTAAACACCTGCACGTGGAGATGGTGACGTTTACTGCACAGTAGATTAGTCTAGTCTGGTATCTAGTGTAGACACAGCCTCTGATGACTGTCCCTTGTTAATTCTGTTCTGGGAGCAATGGGAACGAGGTCTGATTAAGATGACTGGGATCCTATTAGCAGCCTAGGAAGGGAGAACAGCATCTCTGATTATTTTTGCACTTTGAAAATCAGTGGCGTCAGAAAAAAACCAGAATGGCTGGCGACGCAGTGCAAATTGCCCCAGCGGCTCCAAGGAGCCTGTGTTTATATTAAAAAGGAAGAGAGTGCAATTTAATGTAGGACAGCTTAGTGGCAAGGTTTTGTCCTAACACATAGGAAGCGTGTGCTTCATGCCCAGAACCACCACCCCTTGAGAAGAGGGGATGTTAGCCCTGGTCCTGCTCTCCTTCATGTGAAAGGCAAAACTCACTTTGACATAAGGGACGGTGGACCATGCCCATGCAGGGTAGCGTCCTACATGATTCAGGGATGTTTGCAGGGATCCCCTCCAGTCTTTCTTAGCCAACAGGGGCATAAAAAAGTTAGGGGGATTTAATAGGTATGTAGTAAGCAATGTCACTGGCTGGGGGGAAAAAAAATCAAAAACTAATTGGAATTATTCTGCATTGAAGATCTCTGCCATCGTGTTAGGTTAGCTGTTTATCAGCTGCAAAGGTAACCTAGCATGGATGTCACATCACCTTATTCACAAACTATGCTTTTGTTTAAAAATAT